CCCGCGGAACCGGAAACCACCGCCAGCCCGGGCCGCTCAGCGACCGCGGGCCCCCTAGCCGCCGACTCCGGCCCGCCGCGCCGACGGACAAGCCGCGCAGCCAATGGGAAAGGCAGAGCGCCGTGGGAGGGGCGGGACTTCCGGGGGGGCCCGCCTGCCTGCTGTAGGAGCGACGAAGCCGTCAGCCAATAGACAGACCGCGTCCAACAGGGCGGGCGGAGGGAGGGAAGGAGGCGCGAGGCGAGCGCTGCCGAGCTGCGCGAGGTGTGCGCCGCACGTGGAGGGGGCGGGGCGAGTCGAAGCGCCGCGCTTGCGTACTGCGGCCGGGCCCCTTCCGCAGGCTCGAGCGTCGAGGGAGGACACTGAGGTGAGAGGTCGAGCCCCGCTGAGGGAGGAAGGAGCTCCCGGACGCTCTAAGTTACCTGGCTGCGGTTTGAGAGAACTGGAGGTTAATTTTCCAATCTGGATCGTGTGACGCCAGGAGATTCAGCCACTTTTTCCCTCTTGAGGCTCTATAAAATAGAGATGGGGAACCGACCTCACGCCTTGAATCCCAGCACCCAGCAAGCAGAGGCAGGTGGATCTCTGTGAGATGGAAGCCAGCCTGGTCTACATAGGCAGTTCCAGGCCGGACCCTGTTCATGAATGAATGAATGAATGAATAAAAATAAAGTGTGGAACACTTCAAAATTTGCGTTCCATCCTTGCATACGGTCCTGCTAATCTCTGTAGCATTCCATTTTCAGTATATGTGCTGCCAAACAAGCACCATAATGTTTTGGGGTTTTTTGGCCATTTTGAGACAGGGTCTCCCTGTAGCCCCAGCTGTCCTGGAACTCACTGTGTAGACCAGGCTGGCCTTGAACTCACAGAGATCCGCCTGCCTCTGCCTCCCTAGTGCTGGGATTAAAGGCGTGCGCCACCACGTACAGCTCATAATGTATTTTTTAATTGCCAGAAGTTCTGGGCACCCTGTCACATGCCTGTCACCCTGGCTACTTGGGAGTCTGAAGGGAGTCTGAGGCAAGATTGCTTAATTCCAGGACTGCCAAGCCAGCTTGGGCAACAATAACAACTAAAAGAAATAATAAACTTGGGGAGAGAATGGATTTATTTTTTGTTTTTGGTGGTTTCTTTCCTTTTGACAGTCTCTGCACGGACGCGCACTTGCAAAAAATAATTAAAAGATGTTCTGTATACACAATGGAATATTATTCAGCTATAAAGAAGAACAAAATTGTAGGGGCTGGGAGGTAGCTGGCTCAGCAGTTAAGAGCCTTCCTAGTATTCCTAGGGAGGCCTGAGGAGCAAGAGTTAGAGGCAGCCTAGACTACAGAGCAAGCTGTTTGGCTCAAAAAAAAACCAGGCTGCTGCCTGCAGGCCTTTAATCTCAGCACGCTGGAGGCAGAAGCGGGCAGATCTCTGTATCTACATAGCAAATTCCAGACCAGCCTGGGCTGCATGACTCCATCTCAAATAGGAGGAGGGGAGGGGGAGGGAGAGGGAGCGGAGAGAAGAGGGAAGAGAAAGAAGAGAGGGAACACGACAGTTTGAGAATTCCACAGAATTGATCACGTCAAATCTCGCTATCATCTGATACCACCTGATTAGCGTTCCCCAGGGAAGCGGCGCCAGCCTGGCTGGAAATCCACCGTCAGTACAGTAGGGGTCCCTAAGGCTTGCTGCTGCTCTGCTTTAGACCCGCGGCCGCATTTGGTCTCTACCGCCTTCTAGTGGTCGATCTTGTTTGCACCCGCGGGGACGATTCCTAGCCACCACTATTTTTTTTTTTTTTTAATTTTTTTGGTTTTTTTTTGTTTTTTTTTTTTTTGTTTTTTTTTTAAGACGGGCTCTCCCTGTACCCCCAGTTGGCCTGGAACTCACAGAGATCCGCCTGCCGCTGGGATCAAAGGCCCGCACCACCACGCCCGGCACTTTTTTTTTAAAAAAATATTTTATTTATTATTTTAATTTTGTGTGTATGAGTGTATTGCCTGCATGTATGTGAGTGCACCCCTGTCGTGCAATGCTGCGAAGGTCAGAAGAGGCCTTCGGATTCCCCTGGAACTGGGGTTAAGGACAGTTTGTAGCTGCCATGTGGGTGCTGGGAATAAAACCCAGATCCTCTGTAAGAGTAGTCAGTGCTCTTAACTGCTGACCCATCTCTCCAGTCCCTAGCCACCACTATTTTTTTTAGACCCTGCAGCCCCAGGTGGCCTGGAACTCACTATGTAGACCAGGCTGGCCTTCACCCAACAGAGATCCACCTGCCTCTGCCACCTAAGTACTGGGATTAGAGGCGTGCCCACCACACCTGGCTTCTCAAGATTTTTTTTTCCAGTTTATCTTTAACCCTGTAGACCTTCCAGGACAGTTTTTCAGACCCCTCCTCCAGCCTGCAGCGTGTGCTCAGTTTTGCTGACTGCCACAACGTGCACACTGCCTGTCATTGCTAAGTGAAACATGACCCAGCAGAGTGGAGTGCAGTGACCATTCGAGACCCACCTCAGATTCACCAGATGCAGAGCCCATATTGAACTTGCCCTAGGCACTGGAAGGCATAGTTGGCTTTGGAGAAAACAAAAGTTTTTTTGTTTTTAAAATTTTATTTTATGTGTGTGTTTTGCCTATGTATGTGCACCTGAGTTGTGCAATACCAGAAGAGGTGAGAAGAGAGTATTGGATCCCTTGGAACTGGAGTTATGGATAGTTGTTATCTGCCATGTGAATGCTGGGAACCAAACTTGGATCCTTTGCAAGAGCAGCCAGTGCTCTTAACCTCTGAGCCATCTCTTCAATTGTGTGTGTGTGTGTGTGTGTGTGTGTGTGTGTGTGTGTGTGTGTAACTTGCAGGACTGGAGAAATGGTTCATTCCCAGCACCCACATGTCAGCTAACAACCATCCCTAATTCAAATTCCAGGGAATCTGACAGCCTCTTCTGGCTTCCATGGGCATTGCCTCTTCATGTAAGTTTACTGGCTAATAGATGACAGTGAACTAAAAATAGAATCAGCATGGCTCATTTTTTACATATATTTTGTGTCAAAATAAATTGGCCACAGCATGTGTGCGGTAGGTCAGGACGTGCAGAGGTCAGAGGACAACTTGTAGGAATCCTTCCAGCAACTGGGCTGTTTTAGGTCATCAGGCTTGGCAGCAGCTGCCTTCACCCACTGAGCCCTCTCGCTAACCCACATGTGCAACTTTATTTTGTTTTGTCCTGCTTTTGTTTTTTGAGACAGGGTCTCCCTATAGCCACAGATGGCTGCTGGGTGGATGGATGGATGGCTAAGTGGTTGAAAGGGTGGTGGATGGATGGTTGATAGGTGGGTTGAGGTAGAGGGATGTATGTTTTCAAAAGTGTGCCAAGCACTACACACACATTAACTTATTTTATTCAACAGAAACCCCAGGAGGAAAAGAATTTTTATTTACAGTATTTGAACTTCCACACTAGGAAGCCTCACACCCTCGGAACTATGCAAATTGAATACCACAGAGAAGACATTCAAACTTATACATGTCTAACTCCACGCTATTAGCAGCCATGGAAGCCACCACACCACCTCTGCCCTGAGTGCCTAGAGTGGCCACCTTGCTCCCCTCTGGCTGTCCGCCTCCCACAAAGCCACCCAGATTGACCAGGGCCTCCTTTTCCCTCATAGCTCACTCAGCATTCTGAACCTGATCCTGAATACATGCAGTAGATTCCAAGAGGTCTCTACACATACCTTAGGGTATGAGATGCAGCCTAGAACCCTCTCTGGAATGCCCTCCACATTCTCAGCTTATTGGCACAGCCTAAGTAGGATCCAGAACACCCCAAAATAGCCACCGATATATATCAGTTGCCAGAGAGCAAACTTCATGTTTGGGTCCTTGCAAGCAGTTGCCTCATCAACCACCTACCCACCCATCCATTCATCCTCCCATCCATCCATCCATCATCCATTCACCCACCCATCATCCATCCATTCTTGTATACATCCATCATCCATCTACCTATCTACCCATCCATCCACCCATCCACCCATCCATTCATCCATCCATCCATCTGTCCACCCATCCATACATCCACCCATGAATCCATCCATCTACCCCACCCATCATCCATCCATCCACCCATCCATCCACCCATCCATTGATCTATCACCCATCCATCCATCCATGTATCCATCTATCCACCCATCCATCATCCATCTACCCATCCATCCATCCATCCATTGTCCATCTACCCATCTATTCACCCATCCATCCATACATTCATCCTTGTATCTATCCATCCACCCATCTACCCACATACCTATCCACTCACTCATCGATCCATCTACCCACTGATCCACCCATCTACATCCACCCACCCATCCCTCCATCATCCATCTACCTATACATCCATCTGTCCATCTACCCATCCATCCATCCATCTACCCATCTATCTATCTACCCATTCATCCCTCCACCCATTCACCCACACACCCACCCATCCCCCGACCCTGTCATGTGACAATGGCGATGTGATGCTGTGGTCCCAGAGGAAGAAATACAGCACAGACCAGTCATGCAGGGGAAGCATGCCGTTCAGCTCCCCAGTTCAAGTCACCAAACCAGTGACATGAGAAAGTTCAACCTGTGCCAAGGGAGCAGGACATGGAACATAGAAAAGGAGAGAAAAGGGAACACAAATGTCCCTCCAGCTGAAGTCTTGGTCCTGTTCTCTATTGTCAAAGCACAAGAAGCAGAGTGAGTGGATGGAGAGCACAGAGTCCAGCAGGGCTCAGCAGTTCTTGTCATTGTCCTGGACCTCCACATAGGGCAGCCCCACAAGCCAACTGTCCCGTGGCCAGTAGTGAACCTTGAGAGTTTGACCTGGCATCTCGTACTTGGCATCCACCAGGGCCATGGTCACAATACCGTAAGGGAAGGTGATGCTTATTAGAACATGCCTGTGGGGTGAGGGAGAGGGAGATGAGAGACCAAAAGCATCCCCAGCACTCCCCAATCCTCTCCCTAATTCTCAAGGATGTTGGGTGTCTATAGGGATCGCCTGGCTCTAGCCTGCTAGGTGTAACCCCTCCCCACCATCATCACACCCCAGTGTCTGGATCCTGTCCCCTCTCCCACTCTCGTATCCGAGGCTTCTGTTCAGAGCTCTGGCGTCTGAACCCTGACTTGCAGGTCTCAGGACCCAGATGTGTTTACCAGATGCTGTGGAGGTAGAAGAAGTGAATCCGCTGCCAGAAGCTGCAGAGAGCACGGTCGCTGATCCAGCTGGTCAGTGCGCTAACCCATAAGACCACAGAGATCTCAATGAGGTGCCGGAGGTCCTGATTGCTGGTCCTGGGGATGAAAGAAATGCCTGGGTGGGGAGGAAAGAAAATCAAAGGGAGGATGGATGGATGGATGGATGGATGGATGGATGGATGGAAATGTGATGGACAGATGTTTGCTAGATGGATGTATGGATGTGTAGATGGGTGGATGAATGGGGAATGGGGGAATGGGTGGGTGAGTGAGTGGATAGATATATGAATGGATAAATAGGTGGATAGATGGATACCTGAATGTATATATAGATATGTAGATAAGAAGTGGATGGCTGGAAGGATGTCTATGTAGTTGGATGGGTGGATGAATGGGTGGGTGGGTGAGTGGATGGATGGATGGATGGATGGGTGGACTGATGGGTGGTGGATGGGTGGGTGGATCAATGGGCGCATTGGTGATCTGATTCAGATAGAAGCACTTTAATGGGTTGATGGGATATTCCTCCATCGAAGGAAGTGAGTCTCAGAGGTTGGGAAAGGGAGGGAGCTGAGGTGAAGATTGCAAAGAGCTGGTGCCCACTGTAGGCTGGATCTGGAGCATCCCCCCCAAAGCCCTTGTGTTAAAGGATCAGTCTTCATCTTGGAGCTGTTGGGCACTGGTGGAACTTTTAAGTGTTTGGACCTAGGGGAGGTCTCTATGTCATTTATAACATGCTTTTGAAGGGAACTGTGGGAACCCTACCCACTTCCACTTCTTTGGCTTTGCCACCCAAACAACCAGTAATCAAAGCCTCCAAAACTGTGATCCAAAACTAGGCACAGAAGGTCCATCTGTCATCCCAGCATATGAGAGGCTGAGGCAGGAGGAGTACTGTGATTTTGGATACGAGCCTGGGCTACATAAAGCCTGTCTGAAAAAGAAAAAAGAAAATAATTCAGTCTCTCTTTGTGTTTCTCTGTATCCTCTGCTCTCTCTGTCTCTGTCTCTCTGTCTGTCTGTCTGTCTCTCTCTCTCTCTCTCTCTCTCTCTCTCTCACACACACACACACACACACACACACACACACACACACAGTGTCTCCGTACATGTCCCAAGTTTTCCTCAAATTCCTGAACTAAGCCAATCCTCCTGTTCAGCCTCCCATGTACACAGGACTATAGGTGCATGTCCTATGGGAACTTGTAGGTCTAACCTTATCTCTTTATACTATCTCAGTTATATTACAGTAGCAGAAAGCTAACAATAATACCTATTATGTGCTTATAGCTAACAATGGTGCCTAATGTGTGCTTATAGCTAATACTCACTGGGCATTGTGTGCGTGTGTGTGTGTGTGTGTGTGTGTGTGTGTGTGTGTGTGTGAAATAAGAAAGTGTATTTTCCAGATGCCACGTCTTCGGACAACTCAAGACAAGAATTTAGGTTTCCTGTCAGAGCCAGATCTATGTCCCCTAGAAAAGAATGTACTGGAGATGAGTGAGAAAACAACCTTTAATGGTTAAAAGCATAGGCTTTTCCCAGTCACCTCCTAATGAAACTATCCAATGGCTTCAAGCTGGCTTCAAGGTCATTGTTGGCAAAAATGGTTGCCACCATGGTTTCTACTCGGCTTGACCAAAGCTTTTCCTTTGACTTGACTGGTTGCTTTCACCTATGGTTTTTAGTTAGTTTGACCTATGGTTTCCAATTGCCTTGGCCCGTGGTTCGCCACTGTTCTGACCTATGGTATCCCGTTGTCTTGACCATGGTTTAAAATATGGTGGATCAATAGTTTCTGCCCAAATTGGCCAATTATTTCCAAATGAATTGGCCAATGTGGTGTCCCAACAAGAATTGAATGGATTGGAAGAGGGCCTCTCAGATCTGTTTCCAGAGTTTTCTTCTTGTGAGCCCCAAGCTGGGTGGAACAGCACCTGGCAACCACAGTCTCTGGGAAGAAGGGACCTGGGCTACTCATCACCAGTTCGTTCTATTCTTTTCTTTTTGGTTTAATTTGATTTGATTTGATTTGATTCATCCTATTGTATTGAGATAGGGTCCTGCCATGCAGCCTAGGCTGCCCTTGAATTCATGGCGTAGCTCAGGCTGGGCTCAAACTCATGATCCTCCTGCCTCCATGTCCTAAGTGCTTGGATGGCAGACATGCACCACCTCGCCCACTTCCTTCACTATTCTGTGGTCCTTCCCTCCTCCCCCAACTCCAGCACCTCCACTTTTGTCTCCCAATACTCAAAGGACCCCGCCTTATTAGCACGCAGATTTAAGAGCACACATGGGGATTTCCCTATCTTTTACCCTCTCCTTTTTAAAGTAATCTCATTTATTTAATGCTTCTCACTTGGTCTCCTTGAGGCCCCTGTCTCTATGCTGCTGAGGTCCAGTAGGAGCTATGAAGCACAGCTCTCAGGGCTGGGACTCTAGCTCAGTAGTAGTGCATTTGGCTAGCAAAGGAGTTAAATCCTGATAAAATGGGTCAGGGGATGAAATTATAAAATATCCAGGGAAATATGTAATATGTAATAGCAAACTGTGAATGGCTGCTGTACGGTTTAGTGGTGTGACATGTGTGGGGTGATCTTTTCATGCACAATTATGGTGAGCACACAGGACGTGGAGACAAGAGGATGAGGAACTGAAGTCATCCTCTGCTACACAGCAAGTTCTAGCGAGTCTGGGTACATGAGACTCTCAAATAAATGAAAAATTTTTAAAAAGATAACTGAGAAACTGGAGGCTGGTAAGATGGCTACACAGGTAAAGGAGTCTGCGGCTAAGCCTGACACGGTGGAAGAAGAGAATTGACTCCCACACGTGCACCATGGTGCACACAAAAAATAAATAAGTGTAGTAATAAACAATTTTTTGGTCCTTTCGAGAAAGGGTCCCCTTGTAGCCCCAGTTGGCCTATAACTCACCACGGGCTCAGCGGTTAAGAACACTGGTTGTTCTTGCAGAAGACCTGGGTTCGAATCCCAGTACCCACATGGCAGCTAACAACTGTCCGTAACTAGTTCCAGGGGATCCTACAGCCTCTTCTGTACTCTGCCAGCATTGCTTGACACGGGTGCACTTACCTACATGCAGGCAATACACATATATACATAAAATAAAAAAATTTTAAAAACTATATTTCACAATGCTGGGGATAGAACCCATATACTAGTGCATGTTAGGTGGCACGGGCTTTATCTCGGATCAAGACTCCCAGCCTCTCACTGGAGATTCTAGGCTGTCACTCTACCCCTGAGCCACGCCCCCAGCCCTCACTGGGGATTCTAGGCTGTCACTCTACCCTGAGCCACGCCCCCCAGCCCCTCACTGGGGATTCTAGGCTGTCACTCTACCCTGAGCCACGACCCCCAGCCCCTCACTGGGGATTCTAGGCTGTCACTCTACCCTGAGCCACGACCCCCAGCCCCTCACTGGGGATTCTAGGCTGTCACTCTACCTCTGAGCCACGCCCCAGCACTCACTTCCTGTACTCTTTGTGCACTATGTAGAGGATGTGTATGCCGATGCTGTTGAGGGCATATGCATTGATGGTGGGCTTCAGGAAGGTCAGGAAGGTGCTGATCATAGTGGCCGTGAACACCAGGCAGGTGAAGTGGGACCTGAGGAGGAAGCAGGGTGGGTGAGTGTCTGCAAGGTCCTGGGGGATTCAGTCAAGTCATCATGTGCAGTCAACATGAATGCAATAAACCAAGCACGGAGTTGTAGAGATGGCTCAGCAGCTAATTGCATGCATGGCAGGCAAAATACCCACATAAAATTAATAAAATTTAAAATGTATTTAACAAATAAAGCCAAGCACTCTGGTGTCACCAGATGGGCTTAGATCTGGCTTTTGGCTTTTCCTGGGTAGGCTCAGGAGACACCGGTGAGGGGTCCAAGAGAGGCAGGGCCTTGGGGGTGGAGCTCAGGCAGGGATTGCAAAAAGCAGGAGATGAACTGGGGAGGATGCAGAGGGTGTGAGGGAGTTTAGACCTCCATTTGAGGTCAACCAAGCGTTTCAAGGAAACTTAGTGAGTTGAGAAGATGGAGATAGGTGTGGGGAACAGCAGGCAGGAAGCACGGATTGGGAGAGTTCTTCCTTGGGGGTGCAGAGAAGCTGAGGCATGATGGGGTCTTCTGCTGTCCCTCCCACCATGTGGCTTCCCATGTGGTAATAGGGGACAAGTCTGTGAACGCCCAGGTAAGCTGAGCAGGATTTCCAAAGAATTGTTGGCTGTGAGGGTGGGGCAAAGATTGCAAGATTTCCAAAAGGGCCCCAAGTTGAGCATGGGCACTGGGGAGAGCAGGTGAGCTCACACAGGGTCCACAGAGGGTTCAAGTCCACTCTGTTAATACAGCCTCACCTGTTCCCCTGGAGGAAGTTGGGAAAGTAACAACGGGGCAGCCACACGCTGTAGCCACTGGCCAGCAACCACAGGATAGAAATCTCATCCAGCAGCTGCCCCAGGAAGCTGAGGGTCATGTGGAAATACATGGAGAACAGACCTGGGGATGGGCAGAAAAAAGAGGAGAGAGTCAAGAAGGTGGATTTCTCCAGGATACTTCCCCATGGTCACACAACACACCTACCTATCACCATAAAGAGAACCGAGATGACATAGATGCCCCAGGTGCGCTTCTGGGCATATGGATGCAAGAGGAACATCATGAGGGGTCCAAAGATGAAGAAGAAGACATTGCTGAACTACAAGAGAAGCGAGGAGAGGGCAGGTGAGGCGGGGCAGAAGGGCAAGAAGCCCTATTCATCTAAGCATCACACATCCTCCAACCCTCCCCTGGACTATGAGGGTATTAGTGAACCCCGGATGCATTCCACATCAGCCATCAGCTCATTCTTACCTTTTACGTTTTTTTTTTATGGGCCTGTTGTGGTGGTATGCACCAGTAACCCCAGTGCTCCAGAGACAGAGGCAGGTAGATCACTGGGAGTTAGAGGCCAGCCTGGTTTACATAGCAAGTTCCAGGCCAACCAGGGCAACACAGTCAGATTTAGCCTGAAAAAAACAAATTTGGGGGCTGGAGAGATGCTCAGCAGTTAGGAGCACTGCCTGCTCTTGTAGAGGACCCACGTTCGAATCCCAGCACCCACATGGCAGGTAACAACCGTCCATAACTCCAGTTCCAGTGGATCCAACGTTCTCTTCTGACCTCCACGGCATTGCATGACACAGGTGCACTTACCTACATGCAGACAATACATTCATAATAAATAAAAAATATTTTAAAAACAAAAACCAAGCTGCCTCAGCCCCTCACTGATGCTGACCATCTGTGGATCCTCCTCTCCATCCATTACTCTAGGCTGCTTTATTTACCCAGTGAAGGCAGAATCAAGAACGCATTAATCTTCTACATCTATCTCCCTCTTATTTATTTATTGGTCTTTTTGAGACAGGGTCTCCCTGTAGCCCCAGCTGGCCTGAACTTGCTATGTAGACCAGGCTGGCCTTGAAGTTACAGAGATCTGCCTGCCTCTGCCTCCCAAGTGCTGATATTAAAGGTGCACGCCACCACGTCTGGCTCTCTTTTCTTTTTAAAAGGAAATTCTCTATCCATGGATTCTGTAATTGTGGGTTGAAAATATTCAGGAGGAACTCGGTGTGTTGGCACATACCTGTAATCCCACCACTCTGGAGGCTGAGGTAGGAGGACTGCCAGTAGCTCCAGGCTAACCTGAGCTACATAGTGAGCCAGTTTGGACTACAGTGTGTAAAAGGGACCTGTGGGCTGGTTGAGATAGCTCAGTGCGTAAAGGGGCTTGCCTCCAAGCCTGATGACCTGAGTTCAAGCCCCTGAGACCTTCATGGTGGAAGGAAAAAACTAACTCCCAGAAGTCCTCCAACAGCTACAGGTATGCCATGCATGGCTCAGCATGTGTGTGTGCACACATATGTGCACACACACACAAAATAAATGTAATTATTTAAAACAAGGCACTTAGTTGGGTATGGTGGTGCATGCCTTTAATCCCAGCACTCGGGAGGCAGAGGCAGGCAGATCTCTGTGAGTTCAAGGCCAGGCTGGTCCACATAGCGAGTTCCAGGCCAGCTGGGGCTACAGGGGGACCCTGTCTCAAAAACATAAAAAAAAGTCACTTAAAGCTGCCCTATTTATCTTCTTCCTGCAGGCTAAAATGTGGGTTTCTTGGTCGCCACTCAACTTCCACCTTACAGACAAAGAAAGACAGCCAGCACCCCTGTGACTCACTTCTGTGTGTGGGGAGGCATGTGGGGGCGTGTGAACCAGCATGTGGAGGCCAGAAGTAGACCTCAGCTGTTCAGGTACCATTCACCTTGTTTTGGGCTTGCCTTTTTTTTTTTTTTTTTTTTTTTTTTTTTTTGAGATGGGGTCTCTCTCTAGCCCCAGCTGGTCTGGAACTCACTAAGTAGCCCAGGCTGGCCTAAATCTCATGGAGCTCCACCTGCCTCTGCCTCCCAAGTGGTGGGATTAAAAGTGTGGCCCACCTTGCCTGGCCACCTGTATTTTGATATAGGGTCTCTCACTGGCCTGGAGCTCACCAATTAAGCTAAGCAGGCTGGCCAGGGAGTCACAGAATCCTCCTGTCTCCACCCCCTAGTACTTGGAATATAAGAACACACAACAATGACCAGGATGTTGGTAATCCAAATTCAGTTCCTCTTATACACGTGTTTGTGCACACACAAACAAACCAGAAAATGCCCACCTTCCAGGCTGGAGACATGGCTCTACGGTTAAGAGCACTGGCTGCTCTTGCAGAGGACCTGGGTTCAGTTCCCAGCACTATGATAAGCAGCTCACAACCACCTATAACTCCAGTTCCAGGGGATCCAATGCCCTCTTCTGGCCTCTGAGAGCTCCTGCACTGATACATGAATATACATACAGACATACACATAATTAAAAATAAAATCAGCTGGGCATGATGACACACGCCTTTAATTCCAGCACCTGGGAGGCAGAGGCCAGTAGATCTCTGTGAGATCAAGTTCACCCTAGTTTACATAGCAAGTTCCAGGCCAGCTGGGGCTACAGGAAGACCTTGACTCAAAAAAACCCAAAAAAATAAGGAAAAAAAACACAAATACACACAGAAAATAACAACAACAACAACAATAACAGTTGTAGTAATAATAAAAATTGTTTCAAGGCACTAAAATTTTGGGGGCATTTGTTACACAGCACTAGCTATCCAAGACAGACTGCAAGTATACTATGTGCCAAGATTGCTAGGAAAGGCTTCCCAGTGAAGGAAGGACATGGCTGCATCTGATTAGGCTCCCACAATGACATGGTTTACTGTCTCATAATATTATCCAGAAACTAATTACATATCTCCCTATATAATTAGGCATATGTTGTAGGCCCCAAGCAAAGTTTTGTATTCTGGAATTCTGTCTCATCCTCAAAAGAGAAGGATAGAAGAAGACACTGGTTCTCAAGAGTGATCACCAGGTAGGAAGTGAAGCTCCAGGATTTGAAGTTGGGGGTTTCACACAAAGAGGATTGGAGTACTGTTATCAAGGCAGGTGGAACTACCTACAAGATCCCATGGGTGTTTGATGAACAGGAACTAGGCCAAGGTAATAAGTAACAATATATCAAAATAGACTAGGGTGGCACACCACTTTAATCCCAGCACTGGGGAGGCAGGGACAGGCAGAAATTTGTAAGACTGAGGCCAGCTTGGCCTACATAGCAAATCCCAGGCCAGCTGAGGCTACAGGGAGACCCTGTCTCAAAAACACCAAAAGAGAGCTCCAGGCCAGCTGGGGCTACAGAGAGACCCTGTCTCAAAAAGACAGGAAAAAAAAAAAAAAAAAAAAAAAAAAAGCAAACAAAAAAATACAGTGGTTATAGCAGAAAATGGGTATTGAGTTTTGTAATGGATTTTTATTTTATTTTTAATTTATTTTATTTTTATTTTATGTGTATAAGTGTATTGCCTGTGTGTAAGGGCACCACGAGTGTACAATGCCCACAGAGGTCAGAAGAGGGTGTTGGATCCCCTAGAACTAGTATTACAGATGGTTGTTAGTTGCCACGTGTATGCTGGGAATCATACCAGAGTCCTCTGGAAGAGCAGCCAGTGCTCTTTAACCACTGAGCCATCTCTCCTACTCCCCCCACCCTGTTTTTAGAGACCTGGCCTCTCTCAGAACCCAGAGTTGCCTCCCAAGTGCTGGGATTATAGCTGCTGATTCAGCTTAGCTGTCTGGCCTGCAAGCCCCCGGGGATCCTCCTGTCTCCACCTCCCCAGCGCTGAGGTTACAGAGTGTGTGCCACCATGCCTGGCTTTTTACATGGGTGCTGAGGATTTGAACCCCAGATCCTCATTGCTCACATAGCAAGCAATTTACCCAATGAGTCATCTCCTCAGCCCCTGAGTGAGGGTGTTTGTTTTTTTTTTTTTTTGAATCAGAATTAACAGGTTTAGAGGGGGGATCTGTGTAGTTCACCAAGCATAGGCTTGAAAATGTAAATATATCTGATCTGTGAAAAACGCACAAAATCACATCCCAAGGTTTCATTAGCTCTAAATTCAGGTAAGCTCGCAACACCTGCCAGGCCAGATAAAACAGGCCTATGATCCCAGCTACCCCAGAGCCTGAGGTGGGAGAATCCCAAGATCAAGAGCCAGTTTAAAGTCTGGGGAGTTGACTCAGTGGGTAAAATGCTTGGTGTGCAAGCATGGGGACCTGAGTTCAAATCCCCAGCATCCAGGTAAACCTGGATGCTGTGGTGTATGCCTGTAACTCCTACACTCTTGTGAGGAGGTCTGAAGTAGAGATAGGAAAGTTCTGGAAGCTCACCAGCAAGTGAACCTGGATTACACAGGGAGAGACACACAACAAAGAGATCCTGCCTCAAACAGGATGGAAGGTCAGAGCTGACAACAGAAGCTATCCCTCCAGCATCCACACAGGTGCTATAGCATGTGTGCACCTTCACAATGAATGTACACACACAAATATATTTTTTTAAAGTGTGGGCCAGAAGCTGGCATGGTAGCACACACCTTTCACCCCAGCACTCAAAAACCAAAGGTAATAATAATACTAATAATAAATTTTCTTTTTTGGTCTTTTTGAGACAGAACTGCCCAGCCAATAATATCTTTTTCAGTGTCCATAGGAAATATTATGTAATTCGCAGTATATGATCTACTGTACAGGACAGTGCTGCAGAAGGCCCTGTAAGCAAAGCCCAACAGGACACTTCCAGGGCATAAGTGATGGTGCCATTATTGATGTCACAAAAGAGAAGATGACTAATACTGACACGTATACGTCTTGTTCCCTCATTGGTTCCCCACTGGGAAGGGTGTCACCATGGGACAGGGGCGTCTAAGGTTGTTGCATTCTTGTAATCCTGGTACTACGGAGTAAGGCAGAGGAGTGGCTAACCCAAGACCAGGCTGTGCTTCAGAGAAAACCTCCCTCAGGCTTCGCTTAAAATGAATAAATAAGAGATATAGTAAGAGGCTTTGGTAAAACACTCACAGAGCCCTTGTCTTGCATGCCAATACCAGAGAAAAAAGAGAAATGAGATGCTGGATCTCCTGCTGCAGGCCTGTGGTCCCAGATACTCAGAGGCTGAGGCAGGAGGATCCAAACTTGAAGGCTGTCTTGGATAACTTCCTGAGAACCTGTCTCCAAATTAAATAGCAAATGCTGCTGGGATTACAGCTCAGTGGTAGGCCAT